AATAAGCCCTGTAAGCAAACTAACCTGCTGCTGGCTGGGAGCAAAATTCCCTTGTAGGTCTCAAAAACCCCTGCTAATTAGGATACTTCTGGTGCAGTAGGACCAACCCTTGGCTTTTTGGAGAGCATGGACCTTGACATTAGGGGTAGGTAAAGTTATCCATGCTCCCTGGCTTCTTCACATGAGACTGAACCTTCCCCTGGCTGCAATGTGATACTTGGACATGCCGGGAGCCTGCCAGGTTTTGGACAGAGAGCTGAGTCAGAGCTTGCAGCTGTAGTAGAGAAATCAGGAGAACCTTCCTGAGATCATGCTGCCTCTGAAGAGCTTTGTTGCAAATCAGAGGGCTTTGATTTTGTACAAACCTCTGGACTCTCAAGCAATAGAAACCCTGAACTTCCAGTAGTTTTTGTCCAACGGGAACTGTTGGACTATCCCTATGCCTTTAGGGCACTTGAGTCTTGGTGGTGCAGACACTGCACCCTCAAAGGCTGCAGGAACCGGTGAGACTGGAACTTGGCAGTGTCCTCAAGCTTGGTGATGGAGCGTGCCTCCAAGCCAAAGCCTGTCAGCATAGACTGCTCCGTGCCAAGCCCGGTGCAGACCTGCACTCACTGGCTAGGTTCTTCTCCTCTGCTTCTGCCCTTAGGCAGGGCTTCTGCCCAGCACACGGCTGCCTGCAGTGTGCCAAGGGTCTGGCTCCTGGCATGTGTATCACGTGCTGGGACAGGGCATGGGGGAAGCTCTTGCAAGTAAGACCGTTGCCTGCAGTCTGGCAGGGAAATGAGAGGTGCCACAGCTGAGGTCTGCGGCTGCTCTGCATCAATAAAGAGTCAGTCTTGTGGCTGGGCTTGCAGGCTGGGCTTGTTTGGGGGGAAGAAGCGGAAAGGAAGGTGAAAAAGGTCTCTTTTTATTTCCAGAGCAGCTAAAAGACTTGCATCTATCAAGTTTTCAGCTGTGTGAGCATGTGGACTAGCTCTTTGCGCTTGGCTGTTTGTGCCACATGCGAGGCTTGTCTCCGTTTCAGCCCCATGCATCTCCTGCCCTGATCTACAGGGACACAAGGGTGAAACGAGGCCTGACAGTTACTGAGATTTGTGGTGCAACTTCTGCTTTTCTCTGCTGTCAACCAGGGAAGTAAATCTCCAAAATGACTGAGCTTCTCAGAGAGCAAATACTTCCAGCCAGAGGCTGATGGCTTTTGTGTTCTTGCCAAGCCTCTTAATGCCAAATTGAGATTTTTCTTTGGATATCTGAAGTCTCTAACCCCATATAGCAGTGCTGGAAATGGCTTCAGAGGACCTAATGCTCCTAGGGTTGGTCTGTATGTGAAGGTGTTGCCCTTCTTAAGGGAGGTGAGTCCCCTCCAGGGTCTGAGTTAAGAAGGGGGAGAGTGCTGGTAATGTTAATCTGGATGGTGGAAACAAAGATTAGCAAAAATTCTCTGAAAGGGCTTGTAACGTGACCAGTGCAATCTAATCCAGGCCCGATGCAGGATATTGCCTTACTGATGTTACATCAGAGCCGTTGAATGCAATGCTATAAATTAAGTATATTGGAGCTTGCTTGGTATCCTGCAGTGTAAGGAAAAAAATCAGCATTTGGTTGGCCAGCACAGGCTTACAGTGAAGGCACAGACCCACATCCACTTGCCAAGTTGCTGCAGCAGTTTCTGGACTGATTTCTGCCAGAGATGTTCACCCGTACGGCGCTGTTGGCGAAAGATATTGACTGTGCAGTCCCATGCTGGAGTGCCACATGTATCGTGGCAGATCATGCAAAGGCACCAGCCTGGCCTTTGGTGGTCTTCAGCTGTAGTGCTGAGATGTGGCGGGCAGGCTCTGGGCAGACCAAGAGGCAGGGATGGAGGTGGTTCTCAGAGGCAGCTTAACCTGGGTTATGTCTTTTCCACCTTCCAGTGACAAGGCAGCTAAGTGTATCCTTGCTGTCCGATATCTGGTGTCCTGGGCATCTTGCATTTTCTTCCTGCTGGGAATGCGAGTGCCAGATGGTTTTCCTTTCTTCCTCTCTCAGCTCAGTTGCAAACTGAAATACGTGCAGGACTGCAGCCTCTTCCCTCCCCGCTCCTAGCGCTGAGGGATGCAGTTCCTGTCTCCGGCTGTGTTACACCTTTGCATTTCTCTGCAGTGCCTGGGTACTGCTAGAAAGCAGTTACACGGTTAACGAGGCTCCCCTTCTGCTTTGATAAGCTCCCTGGAGGAATCTGCTTTCTCCACAGGTGTACCTTCCATCTGTCAGTGAGTTTGTTGAAAGGATTTTGACAGGCAACTTTCTTCCGTAATCCTTAATAGCTTTGAATTTAAAATGTTTATGGCAAAGATAATCCTATGAAACTCCCTGTAGTTTTAATAAATCTGTCCTCCAGCAAGGCTGTTCTGGTGAGAGGAGGTAAATCTACTTCTTTCTGCGGTGATAAGTATCTGCAGACTTGGCTGCAGGGCAGATTTAAAGTCACCTGCTTGGTCCATGCTTAAAACTGCTATCTCTGCTCAGAGAGCATCTCGCTAAAAGCAAGACCTGGTATGGTTAGCAACCTTCATAACCAGTGTCCGGACAGAAAACTGTTGGAGTCGGCATTTACAGCTGGAAGGTAAGAGAATAAGTTGGGCTGGGATTTCTGGCTGTTTCTGGTCCCAGTTCCCTTACTCAAAGCAAGGCAACTTAGATGGGACAAGACCCTGAGTAACCTGATTAAGCTTTGCCTATCTCCAAGGATAGACAACCCATAAGCTCTAGGGCAAGGGGACACCTTCACTGTGCTCCAGTATCCTTCAAAGACGGCTTTAACCTCACAGTATCTTTAATTTGTGCTTGTGCAGGTATCACTCAAAGGGGAGAATGAATGGAATCATCGTGACATTAAGTCCTATAAAAACACAGACAACTAGAGACAACTTAGAGTGCAAGGCAGCCTGGAAGTGTCATATAAACTACTTGCCATGGGTATTTTAGCACGGTGCAGCCAGACTGTGTGCAGGGCTGCACCTCTGCCCTGGCCCCTCTGTGGGGAGCAGCGTATCACAAAACTGTGTGGTGAAGCAGCCGCTGTTAGCCTGGCTGGGAGAGGTGGGATGTGGGTTAGTCTGCTGGCACTGGGAGCTGCCGGATGTCCTGGGCATCATGCACCCAGCTTACCTTGGTGCATGAAAGCTGGGAGCTGCCTCGGCATGCTGCTCCCTGCACCTTGTCCTGTATTGGCGGCAGCTACATACAGATACAGGAGACTCTGTCCTCTTTAATGTGCCACCCGTTTCCCTGGTCCCTCAGCCATCTTCTACCCTTGATGCAGAAGGCAGCTGTGCCTGGCTTGCACAGTAAGACCCTCTTCTCTATGGAGATGGGCTGTTTGCTGGTTCCCCTGCCAGGCTGTAGAGCATCTCGTGGAGCAGCACCCGTCCACAGAATAGCGTGAGGTGGGAGTGGAGGCTCCTCTTGCTGCCTCTGCCTTGAGGAAGGGAGTAGAGGGGTCTGGATCAGAGACCACAGTACTCTGCTTGCTGTGTGGGAAACTAAGGCTTAGCTGTAGCGTGGTTTTGGAGGAGATGTTAGCCAGGCCCTGGCTGAACAGCGGCAAGGAGAGCTGCAGGCAGGAGCGCATGTTGCTGGAGTGAGCAGGTCAATGTGGTGTAAGCAAGTGTGAGTCATTCCAGGCCACTCATTTGAGGTCCCAGGCTGGACCGTCCCAGCTTCCGGCGTGAGCCCTTGGCCTCCTGATCACCATCATAAATGTGGCTATCTAGGCCCAGAACAAACCTTGTCCTTAAAAACGCTTGTGAAAATGTTCAGTATTTGCAGGAGCCTTTCGCATCCAAACCATTACCTAATCCTTGTGAGAAGTGACCGCCGAGAGGAGGCTTACAGGTTCCTGCTCCGCTGGCCCGCTTCCCGCGCGGCTGTACCCAGAGTGTGTATGTGGCGGGGCGGCGTGCCCCCGGGGAAAGGGGCCCGCAGCGATACCCAGGCTCAAAGTGCCATTTGGCAGCTGTAAGTACCCCAGCTGAGTGTGGAGCGGCCTGGCTGCCGCAGCCCGCTGTGCTGCCCGGCCCGCTCC